GAGAATTAACAAAAGAAAAACAGGGTTTCACCAGTCCACCAAGATTGACCTACCTGGCTGATCCGTGCCTCTGCTGGTGTTCTGACATCCCTTCCTCTCTGAAAATCCGCGCATTTCCCCCTTGTGGGGCCGGGGGCCCTGCTCAATCACCTCCGTTATGAATTTATGATTCCTTGGCAAACCAGAGTCATGCACCCCTTCCTCATCCTGAAGAGCCCGAAATGCCATCACGAAATGCCTCCTATCTGATCTGATCAGTCCAATGAATTGCCCGATAGGTCTTGCCAGCCGAGCTTTAAGGTTTTCTTCCACCATTCCCAAATCAGATCCGCCAGATTATTCAAGGGCGCGGTGGGGGGGGGGGTAGGGACGGGGGGAAGGGGGGTGTCATCCCTTTCCATTCCCAAACCAGGACCATCATACTATTCATCGGGAAAATTTGGGGAGCCCGGAGTGCAAGAGTATTCAGGGGGAATGTTCGCCACTAACAAGTCAAAACCCCTGAAGAGGACAGTAAATCATTGTATCATAATAATGGGAAGCTGGACCCAGGTTCCAGCAGGTGTCTCTCCACACCAATAGACCCAGCCTTCAGTGCAGGGGACACTAAAACCACCAGTACACGGCCCCAGCCTTGCAGTCCGAAGCTTGTCGCCACAAGAAAAAGAGGCCAAATGTCAATGCTGGGCCCGGCTTTGATAAATTAAATCGGGCAGCCACGTTTTCGTTTTGCACGTCCAGAATTTGAGGTGTCAGACCCGTGGCCCAGGTGCCCATGTACTGGTGCTTTCAACCACCAGTACATGGCCGCAGCCAACTTGAGCGTCACGATTGAGTCAGTGTAGTCCCTTTACGGCCATCCAAACGTACTGATGGCTTTACAGGGGGTCGCTTTACGGCCATCCGAATTGACAGATGGACGCCCATGCGGCTGTACGGCCTGTTCCCATCCGAACCTGCCAGGGCCTGATGGGGGACTGCAAAGGGGGGGGGGGGGGTGCAGCTTTGCGAGGACCCCCCCTGTGTTTTTATTTTTATTTTCATTTTTATTTTTATTTTCATTTTTATTTTTATTTTTACGTGAAAAATGCAAAATGGGAAAAAAAGATTAATTGATTGATTGATTGATTGATTGCTGGCTTGATTGATTGATTGATTGGATACATCATTCATTGATTGGTTGATTGATTGGTTGGATTGATTGGTTGACTGACAATCAATCATTCAATCAATCAATCCAATCATTGCCAATCCACCAGCGGCGGGAACGGGGGAGCCAGCATGAGCAGGGGAGGCAGCGGGAGCGGGGGAGGCGGCAGGAGCGGGAGAGGCAGTGGGAGCGGGAGCGGGGAGACAGCGGGAGCGGGGGAGGCAACGGAAGGGGGGAAGGCAGGGGGAGTGGGGCAGGCAGCAGGAGCAGGGGAGGCAGCGGGAGCAGAAGAGGTAGCGGAAGCGGGAGCGGGGGAGGCAGCGTATGAGGCACCGGGAGCGGGTAGAATGTGTGTGTGTGTGTGTTTGTGTCTGTGTGTTTGTGTGTGTGTGTGTCCGTGCACATGTGTGTGTGTGTGCATGTGCGTGTGAGTGTTTGCGTGTGTGCGTGTGTGTGCGTGTGAGTGTGTGTGCGTGTGTGTGTGTGTGTCTGTGTGTGTGTGTCTGTGTGTGTGTGTGTGTGTTTGTGTGTGTGTGTAGGAACAGTATTTCAAATCATAGCAACGAGATACACGGGGACCTCCGAGTCGGCATAATCCACTCACCCGTAGATTGAAGTAGTGGTACCCTCCTACCCACGTATGTGATCATCACAGAACTCAGTCAACCAGCAATCCTGCAGACTCACTCAAAGATCAAATGCGGACGGAGAGAGAGAGAGAGGAGTAGAGAGGAGAGAGGAGAGAGGGGAGGGGGAGCTAGGATGGCAGTAGGCATCAACGTTAGCAAAGTAACTAACGGAGGAGGGGTGGTGTATTCCCTAAAGTGCTTTTTGCCGCTTGCGCCGGTCACGGCTCCGCAGACTCGTGCAGAGGGTGAGAATCGTCTGGCTCCCGAGGGTGGGGTGGGCCGGTGAGGTGGAGAAGGAGACAGAGGTACGGGGGTGGTGTGCCATAGTAGGTACACTTACCACATGCTCATTGTTAACAGCGTGGCAGATGATGTCATCATTCCTGATGCTGCCGTCCATGGCTGCCATTGTGATGTCACCGTGAGGGAGTGACCATCAACAACGATCGCAGTGTCAGTCCAGGTAAGTGTAGGACTGCTATTCAATTTGCTGATCTTGTGATGTCACAATCACTTCTCATGGCGAATGCAGTAATCAGTCTGAACAATTTTCAGACTGGATCTGCCGTTACCGGTATACACACTGGCTGTAGAAGCTACGTAACACACCCGGCCTGGAAACATTTTTCTCTTTCTTGGCTGACACAGGTCATGTGTTTTTCTCTTTCTTGGCCGACACAGATCGGACATTTCCCCCCCCTTTTTCGGTCGACTCAGACCAGACATTTCTTCTTCGGATTATGCTTGAGGCTCGGTCTGCATTGCAGCTCTGTTTCGTGCATGGAGCTTGCTCCGCATTAAGAATTGTTCTTCGTGTAGTTCCTTTTAAGTTTCTGCTGCAAGTTCCGCTATTTCAGCAGATAGCGTGTTTGATGTATCGGTTGATTCATTCACAGGTCCGGGAATCGTGCAGGGTTTCCCCGGACGCCTGGCAGCATGGCCGGTTCACTTCCAGGCCGTCGGCCTGATCCTTGTCCGGCAAAAATTGGTTTTCCCAATATTTGGGCCTAGCCCGATCTATCACTTCTGCCCACTGCAGGCCCAGGTCGGGGATTCGTTCTGTTATTCACTCATTCATTCTGTCAGACAGATCCACGTTCAGGCTGGCAGAGGCTGCCTCCGTGTGTCCATCCTTCTCTCACTCTTCTCTCTCTCTCTCTCTCTCTCTCTCTCTCTCTCTCTCTCTCTCTCTCTCTCTCTCTCTCTCTCTCTCTCTCTCTNCTCTCTCTCTCTCTCTCTCTCTCTCTCTCTCTCTCTCTCTCTCTCTCTCTCTCTCTCTCTCTCTCTCTCTCTCTCTCTCTCTCCCCCGTCCCCGCATGTGCCCCCCTGCACGTGCATCATAGTGTCCATGACTCGATGGGATTGCTTTTGGAGGGGATTGACAGGATTGGAATGACATAATAACCGGAGGGTCATACTGCTTGGCCACTGGGACCCTCTTCACCTATCTTTGTCAAACTTCAAAGTTCCAACGCAACCTATTTCAATTGGTAAGAAAGCAGTTTCATGGGCAAACTGGTACAAGGCCACAATCAAACAATTTCTGCAGACGGAGATTCGGGCACAGTGGTCTAATATCAAATCCAAATTATAATATGCTCTACATAAACAATGGATGTAAGAAAAGTAATTCAAAATTTAGGGGGGGGATAGGTGATGAGAAATGGCCAGGGAGGGAGTGTTTTCGATAATTGGTTCAATGGTTCAGCATCCAGCAGGGGGCTTCACTGAGATCTCCAAATTTCTTTCCTGATCTGTTTCCTCCCGCTGAACTTGCCATGGCTGAATTGCAATGGTATGGTACTATGGACTCGTATGGAGGGACAGACTAACCAAGTCCTTTTATTTTGGTGTATTTTTTTATCAATCAATCAATCAATCAATCAATCAATCAATCAATCAATCAATCAATCAATCAATCAGTGTGTCTACCAAAAACAGTAAAAAAAAAGGAAAAAGAAAAGAAAATGGCTTTGATTTTTCTTTTCATTATTATCTTTTTTTTTTTGTTCCTTTGATATTTGCATATGTAGGTAAACAGAAAGAATCAAAGAAACATGAGCACCATGATTATCCCAGCGGCAATCAGAAAACCGATTTTTTTTTAAATGAAAAAAAAAATGTTCCCTTTTTTTTTATTATGTTTCTTTTGATTTTAATACTTGTTTTTTTCGTTTTCTATTTCTTTTTTTAAATAACGAAAAACATCAAAACAAAAAAACAAAAAAAATGGGGATGTTGGGTTTTGGAAACCCTACAACCCCCCCCCTTTTTTTTTTCTTGGCCTATTATCCTACGAATTAAAAATGTCGGGTTTTTCCGACGGCACTCGGCCTCAGCGGTTGGCCCCCGCGGGCATGATCATGACCGCATGCGGCCAAAAAGCCCACGGGTGATACATGACATTGGCTGAAAACATATGTTTATGTTTCATCAGGCTTAGAATAGCTAAAATTGTGAATTATATTCCGCGCCCCTGGGATGGTTGAAGAGGCTATCTCTAAGCCACACATTCTGATTCTTGTATTTGCAGTATTTTATGTTCGAGGGACGGTGGACCCGTTTTCCCGCAGGTGATGCTCCCCACCAGTAGAATGGAGTCACGGGCGCTACAACTAGGCGCCGATGCTCGTATCAACACTCCTCGCTGTATCAGCTGACAGCTGCTGTTTCGCTATTCCTGGTCACGAATGGCTAAAGACAAGACAAGCAGAGAGGAATCACGACGAGAAATATGACACACGAATGGCTGACCACTCCACGAGCTCAGAAGAAAAAGAGGCAATGCACACATTTTCAGACAGTGCAAGGGACAGAGTGCCAGTGTCTTCCTCCAAGATTTTCGGCTCCGTTTTCCAAGTGCATTCCAGGAGACAAAAATATGCATTTGCAGTTCCCAAATTCCCGTACCCTGCAGCACCACTGAGAAACGCAGCCGGCGCCTATCACAAAGTTCTTGACTTCGTGCGTACCTGGTCTAAGTG